AAGGTAGAAAGCAACTTGAGTTTGGAAACCAAATCTTGGAAACGTCCCGGTGGATGGGTCTCGGTGAAGATGTCAGCAATCTGATCAACAGTGGAAATAGGAAGAAGATGAATAGTGCTTTGAGTAACATGTTGACGAACAAAATGACAATCAATCTCAATGTGTTTGGTGCGATCATGGAAAACATCATTATGCGCAATTTGGATAGCACTACGATTGTCACAGTATAGAGGAGTGGCACTGGAAGAAGTAACGCCCATAACTGAAAGTAACCATGGAAGCCAAATGAGCTCCTGAGTGGTATCTGTAAGAGCACAATATTCGGATTCGGTGCTGCAGCGAGAGGCCAAGGTTTGTTTCTTGCTATGCCAACATATAAGGGAATCACCTAAGAAGAAACAGAATCCTGTGGTAGAGCGACGATCAGTCGGATCACCAGCCCAATCAGCATCTGAATAGGCACGTAATAAGAGTGCAGAACTAGAGGAGTAGTGAAGACCATGAAACAAAGTGCCTTTAACATAGCGAAGAATACGGAGCACAGCAGCATAATGTGTTGATCGAGGAGCTGACAAAAATTGGCTAACAAGGTGAACAACATGTGCAATGTCAGGTTGAGTAACAGTGAGATAAACGAGACTGCTTACTAATTGTCGATACAAGGTGGCATTGGGAAGAGGTGTGCCGTCCAGGGGTGTTAGGTGTTCATTAGGCTCGAGAGGAGTAGAGACAGTTTTGCTGTCAGTGAGGCTAGCCTTTGCTAGAAGATCAGAAGCATATTTGGCTTGAGAGAGATAATAGCCATCGGAGGTAGAGGAGATCTCAAGCCCCAAGAAATATTTGAGAGTACCCAAATCCTTCATCTCAAAGTGTTCACTAAGAGACTTTTTGAGTGCAGAAATTCCATGAACATCATCACCAGTAAGAATCACATCGTCCACATAAAGAAGAAGAAGAACAATGCCATGTTGAGATTTGCGGATAAAGAGAGCAGAATCATAAGAGCTGGAAGAGAAACCAAAGGCCTGGATGGTGGAACTAAACTTTGAAAACCATGCGCGAGGAGCTTGTTTGAGTCCATAGAGTGCCTTTCGAAGTTTACAAACCTGATTAGATGAGTGAGGATATCCAAGAGGTGGTTGCATATAGACTTCTTCTTGAAGATCACCATTCAAGAATGCATTTTTGACATCCATCTGAAATAATGTCCATTTTTGAATGGTAGCAACAGCAATTAAACTTCGAACAGAGGTGAGACGAGCCACAGGTGCAAAGGTTTCTTCATAGTCAATTCCATATTCTTGTGTAAAGCCCTTAGCAACCAGACGGCTTTATAACATTCGACGGTCCCATCTGAGTGTGTCTTAATCTTGTAGACCCATTTACAACCAACCAAAGGCTTATTAGGAGGAAGGTCAACCAACTCCCATGTACCAGTTCGGTCCAAGGCTTGTAACTCTTCTGTCATTGCTTGCTGCCAAAGGGGATTAGTACTAGCCTCACGATAAGAGTGAGGTTCATGTTGAGAGAAAATAGTAGAATAACAATGATAGCCACGAAGCAAGACAGAAGGTTCTTTTACCCGAGTAGATTGACGAAGAGATATAGTAGGAAGCACAGAAGATTCAGTGGGAAGTTCTGGAGGATCAGTAGAGGTAGGGACTTCAAGGGAAGCAGGAGGACTAGGAATAGGAGATGGAGATGCAGGACCATCAGGAGAGCCAGACTCTGTAGAGAGGAGTGGACCGGTAGTAAGCTCATTAGTAGCATCTGTATCAAGCTCATCATTAGAAAATAGAGGAATAGAAGGATTAGTAAAGAAAGGTGTAGTGGGAGAATCAGAGTTGTGGAATGGAGACATGGAAGAGAACATTTTATGTTCCCAAAAGACCACATGTCTAGAGACACGAAGACGTTTAGAGATGGGATCCCAGTAACGATAACCTTTGTGTTCAATGCCATATCCCAAGAAGCAACAAAGACGAGCCCGAGGTTCTAATTTGTTACGTTCATGGGGCTGTAATAGAACAAAACATGCACAACCAAAAACACGAAGATGATTATAAGTCGGGGACTTACCATAGAGACACTCATACGGAGTTTGATTGTTGATGATGGGAGATGGAACACGATTAATAGTGTAAGCAGCAGTGAGGACTGCCTCTCCCCAAAAACGCTCTGGACAAGAGGCAGATATTAAAAGAGTATGAACAGTGTCAAGAAGGTGACGATGTTTACGCTCAGCACGACCATTCTGTTGAGATGTGCCAGGACAAGAGGAGTGAGGGAGTGTACCATGTTGACGGAGAAATTTTAAAAAATTAGTTTCTTTATATTCTTGGGCATTGTCGGCACAAAAAATTTTGATGGTGCGAGAAAATTGTGTCTTGACCATATTAGCAAAATCATAGTAATATTGTTGTAATTCAAAATGATTTTTCATTAGAAATAACCTAGTAAAGCGAGTAAAATCATCCACAAAAATTACAAAATACCTAGATCCCCCCATGGTAGGATGTGGTGGAGGCCCCCAAACATCAGAATGTATGAGATCAAAAGGTGCATGGGACATAGAATCACTTTTATTAAATAGTAAAGATGGTTGTTTGGCAAGTTGACAAGATAAACAATCCACTGAATTATTTGTAACATGACCTAACTGACCACTTGACACTAAACTACGTAAACGACTAAATGACACATGGCCGAGAGGGGAACGCCAAAGATCGAGAGTACAACTAGTGGAGGCAGCGACTGTAGAATAAGAGAGTTGAGATGGAATGTGAAGATGAATGAGCTCGTATAAACGCCCATTTTTACGGCCGATCCCAAGAGTCTGGCTCGTCCGGGGGTCCTGCACAACACAGCCAGAGGAAGAGAAAAGAACAGTAAGACCAAGATCACAAAGTTGCCCAATAGAGATTAGATTGAGAGTAAGATGAGGAATTAAATAAGTGCTAGGAAGGGAAACAGTAGAAGTAGAGACATGGCCTATATGGTTAACATGCATGGGAGAGCCATCAGTAGTATAAATGGTAGGAATATTAGGTACAGACATAGTAGAAGAGAAAATAGTAGAATCCGATGTCATATGATTGCAACAAGCAGAATCGAAGAACCATGAGGAGGTACCTGAGGTGACTGACAGAGCAGTAGAGGGTGTACCAGAAGTAGAGAGAACCTGTTTGACTATAGATTCAATGTCATGAAGTGTGAAGGTTTGGTTGTGCTCAAGAGGAGCAACATCAGAGGAAGATGTGGCAGCAATAACAGCAGCAGAATGAGAATGAGCAGCGGGCCGATAGCGGTAATGGGATCGAGATTGACCTCCTTTAGAACGACTGTCATGAGGTTGGCGATTGGGATTTTTGAAACAGTCACTCTGATAGTGGCCAAGACCAGTCTTGTTGCACCACTTACAAATCCGAATTGGACATGTAAGTAAACTATGATTGGAGTTATGGCAATAAGTACATGATTGTGCAACGGATGATTTGCTAGGCTGATGAGAAGTAGCAAGAACATTGTGAGTCTGTGGAGTTTTGAGAGAGCCAAGACGAGTTTCTTCAGAAAGGAGTTCGGAGATGGCATGTTCTAAGGTTGGAAGCGGATGACGATGGAGAAGAGAAGCTCGAACAGGTTCAAAATCATCCCGAAGGGCCATCAGAAAGGATATCAAGCGTTGTTCATCTCGATATGTAGAGAACTGACTAGCATCTTCCTTGCAGTTCCATTTAGGTTCAAACAAAGACAGTTGATCCCAAATAGCATACATCTGGGACAGAAAAACATTGATAGATTGACCGAACTCTTGTCGCATGTGATGCAGTTGGCTAAGAAGTTGATATTGGTGAGCAAGAGCAGTGGTGCTATAACGAGTCTTTAGAAAATCCCAGATTTCCTTTGCTATGTCAAAGCGCCCAAATTGAAGATTAATGGAGACAATGGAAGTATTACGGCACCATGTGATGACTTGATGGTTTTTACTATCCCAATCATCAAGTCGTTCTTCATATTTAGAGGCAAGTTCATCAGTATTTTTGACAAGTTTGACAATATCACCAGTAACAAGACGCCACAACTTCTTCCCTTTGAGAAAACTAGACATGGCTTGAGCCCAAATGGTGTAATTAGAACCATCAAGAATGATGGAAATTGGTTGGGCCATATTAGAACGATCCATAGAAAGCAATAAAAAAGAAATAACAAGGTGAGAAGAATGGAGACGTGGTGTTGCTAAACTGGGTGTAAGGGATAGAGCAATATTTGTGGACTGCCGGAATTAAGAGGATCAAGGATTTTGACTCTAAGCTCTGATACCATGTTAGAATAGTAGAGAGAGAGAATAATATGTATTGTATTGAATTAATGATTTTACAGTACAAAGCTATGGGTATATATATAGGACTATGTAGGAGTGTTGTACAAAGGAAAGGGAAAGAATAAGGTAGGGAGAGAATAAGGTAAAGAAAGAATAAGGTAGGAAAAGAAAAATGTAAGATTTGAACATACCTAATAGGGAGGAGCCTATAATCTAAATATGGAATACAATACAAAGAATAATATATACATATATAATATGTTAATTATATACATATATAATTTATTAATATATTTCATATATTAACAGAACCAGTTATATAACGTGATTTGAAAATTTAGACAAAGGAATTAAAAGGAGATTTTGATTAAAAAAAAAAACAAGAGTGCTAAGTGTAGTTAATATTATCACATCATTGTTCATCATTAGTTTTCGAAACAATAACGTCATAAAAATGGGTCTGATTACAACATGACTCGAAGTGTGAGGTGGAAATTGAGACAATTTCAAAGTCAATGGGCAAAATCAAATTAGATATAAAATATAAGGGTGCATAATGAAATTTAAGCTGTATAGATATGTATATAGTTGTTTGCATCAAGAAGCACTTTGTTTTGTTTTTCATTTGAAGATTTATTTTTTTTTATTTTTTTATTTTTTTTTGTGATTGGATATGAAGATACATTGGTGTAGGAGAATCAGAAGATGTGCAGCTATTTTACTACTTCATTGAGTCAGAGAGGAATCCAAGTGATGACCCATTAATGCTTTGGCTTACTGGAGGTCCTGGTTGTTATGCTCTTTCTGGCCTCATATATGAAATAGGTACATATTGTTTGAACGTGTCCCACATCTTTTGAAATTGTTCCATTTGTACTGGTTATAAGGCTCTAATTTCTCTCTTCTTAATACCTGGATTTTAAGAAAAAGTGTGAGCTATACTTTTCAACTTGGTATCAAAACTTGGTTGGGTATGTGATTGGTGTGCCGTTGTCTGGCTATTGTATGTTGTGGTGTAGGAGGTGTGTTGAAATGTGTCTGACATCACCTAAATGTGTCTGACATCACCTGTGGAATTGTCCCATTTGAGCTGATTATAAGGCTCTAGTTTCTCTCTTTTTAATATTTGGGTTTTAAGAAGAAATGTGAACTGATTTTTTCAACTCATATAATCATAACTATTCGAATTTTAATCTGCATCGTATGATTTTAAGATTTTAATTGCGTTAAACAATGTGAATCATAGTTGGATTTTAAATTTAGTATGATCTACGATTTCAATTTTACTATGATCCTGATTTTACCAAATTTTTTTCTTATTATTTATTTTGTTATATATATGTGTGTGTGTGTGTATGTTTATATCAATATATAAAAAATTGACTACAAACGCATTTTTCAGACATCTATAGTATATGTTAATTTAGAAGATGCATTATGTCAAATTTATCATTTAATGATTTAAAATTATTTAACATAGATTATCATTAACAATAATTTTTTTTAATTTTATTTTGCATTAAAAGTAAAATATTAGGATTCTCGATCCAATTTTAATATCCAATCCACGGAACCCTTCCAACGATCCCACCTAGGATCCCAGTTTTAACAACTTTGCATGCAATTGTTACATATGAGTGTACTTAATCGTTGCTTTGATGTATTGCTTCATTTGTTTCGGTAAAAAATATTTCTACATTTCTAGTATTTGGTACTACAGAAAATGAAAGTCAATACAAAACAATTTCTATGATGAATAGAAAACAAGATTCGTTGAGGTGAAAAATGTTTTTCACTTTAAAAATGTGAAAAATATTTTCTAAATTAAAGTCTCGTCAGTGCTATCATATTATTGCCACAGTTACCACCCCTACCACCACCACTTTCCCCATCACTACATGTTCCTCCACCTAACGACCACAACTAAGACCACCACTGATGTATTAGTTTCGAGGTTGCAGCTAACCATAAAAAAATATTTTATGATTTTTTTTTTCCCCTAATAAAAATGCTATGTGACAATCTAACTTTTCTAAGAAGAACTTAATATATATATATTTTTCATCAATGTGTAGGTCCATTAGCTTTTGACTCTGGAAATTCCAATGGGCACATTCCAACATTTGTATTGAACCCATACTCATGGACAAAGGTATAAAGTTGGATAAATTACAGTTTGCACACAAAAGCATCAAGGTTTTAGATTTTTTTTTTTTTATTTTCCTTGAACTATTGAATTTTTGTCAATGTGGTCCAGTTGACAGTCGTCATCAAATTCTTTAACATAAAATGTCATGTGACACTTGAAAGGTCAAATGAAAAAAAAAAAAATTGTAACACTTGAAAGGTCAAAGTAGGAAAGTGTAATGCTTAAGGATTCAAAGTAGAAGTGTTGATACCATGTGGCATTTTTTGTTAGAAAACTAGGCAACAGTTGCTAAGAACATCTCCAATTGACTAACTGAATGAACATCTTTAATCGCTTCAACTAGTCTCCTCTCAATTTGTTTCTCTAGCCATGATGCTGATTATTTTGCCTCTCGACTTCTTCTTAGAACATCTCAATCAGGAGAGACATTTAGAGTAGAAAAGTTTAATGTAATGTTTAAGGAGTCAAAGTAAAAAAAACTGTTGATACCACGTGACATTTTTCATTAGAAAATCAGACAGCAGTTACTAATAACATATCAAATAAACTAACTAAATGAACATCTTCAGTCAATTTAGCTAGTATCCTCTCATTCACTTCTCCAACAACCATCATGCTAGCTATTTTGCCCCTCCTTCTTTTAGAACATCTCAATCAGGAGAGACATTTTAAGCATTTTTGTTCTCGAATAAGTTTTTGAAAGAATGGAATATGAGGCACATGATTTTTGTTCTCGAATTTCTACATCTTCTATTCTATTACACTTCCAGTCATAATTATGTATGGAGATTTTCAAATGAAAAATAAATTCACCAGAGTGGCTTCCATAATACTATACAATGCCCCTTCCCTTATTTCTTTATTGTCCACAATTCCCGATGGGCATCTGAACAAAAACAGTTTGAATGAACCATTTTTTTGGGTTTCTTTGACCTTTCCTCATTTTTCACCCAGTGGTCAAATCATTTGTTTAATGATTTCACCTTTTATGTGTTTTGATGATATTACAGGTTCTTGCTGTGAAGAAAATAAATTCATCTGCTCTTCCAAATCACTTGTCTAAAGATTTTATGGATATAGTTTCAGACGTATCCCGGTTGCGGCATCCAAATATAACAGAGCTTGTTGGTTATTGTTTAGAGCATGGACAGCACCTGCTGGTATATGAGTTCCATAAAAATGGTTCTCTTTATGACTTCCTCCATCTCTCAGATGAATTTAGCAAGCCATTGACCTGGAAAAAACGTGTCAAGATTGCTTTAGGGACTGCACGTGCACAAGAGTAAGTTGAAAGAGAGATTGGAGAGCAGTTGACATCTTAACTTGTTCTATTCCCACATCGAAATATTAGAACATAGTTTTGTTCCATTTAAAGAGCCACCAAATAGGTTAATATCGCCGGGCGTGGTAACGCAAGCCTATCACTCAAGTGAGGGTATTAAAGTGGTTGGAAGTTGGTCTAGTCCAGCAGGCTGTCCCTGATGAGGTTATTTACTGGCCCGCCCATCCTAAGGTAGGAGTTGGGCTTTGAAGAATTGCTGGAAGCAGGTTACAGGTTTGCAGGTGGAAGAATTGCTGGAAGCAGGTTACAGGTTTACCTCCCACTCTTGTCGGTGGATGGATTGCGGGCCGGCCGGTGCTCCTCAGGTCCATATCTGCTGGGCCGTTCTCAATATGACAACCATTTTTTTGTGTTTTTTTTTTTTTAACACTTGATATCTGGTGGCTGCCCCTTCTTGGTGGCCTGTCTCCCACAACAACAGCCACTTTTTTTTATAAACTTTTTTCGTTTTTTTATGGCCCAACTCCCTAAATGCATTATTACTTGTCCTAATTATGAAAATGACAACCATTTTTTTTGGTGATTCTATTTGCACTTAAAAAATAATTGAGTACACCTAATTAAATTTTAGAAATTTTAATTCATATTATATGCTAATTTACATTTATTAATAAGGAAAACACGTATTAAATCCTAAAATAAAATATCTTTTTTTTCATGGCACACCCTAATTACTTATATGTATTATTTAGATTCAAGTCTATTATCTTCTTCCCCAAATTTCAATTATTTTATCTTTTTCTTTCTCACTCTAAAATTTCAATTCACCTTACCAAAACTTACCATTATCAACTTCACCTTACCAAAACTTACCATTATCAACACCATTGTTTCTTTTTGTGTTGTTACTTACAAATAGAAGAAAGTTTGAACAAAATCAAATGACGAATGAGAACAATAATCAAAACTATTTTTTGAAACAATCCATCAAAGGTGATGTAAGTATTCACATAAATATCGAATTACAATTATTAATTTTTGTGTTTAGGGTATTATTTAGATAAAAGAAAAAACTCTTTAAAATTGCATTTGAATTGGAAAAATTAAAATAAGAATTTAAGGCTAAGATAAACAAAAATTATAAGAAACTATATATAGATACTGTACTAAAATATATAAGGAGAGACGAGAGAGAGAACTGGGCATCGTTAAAAAAAAAAAAGAAAAAAGAAAAAAAGAACAAACTGGACAACCCATCAATCATCTTCTCAATGGGCACTTGGCATGGTGAACAGAATAATTGCTGACACTTTTCAGAAAAATCCTTTTCATAAATCAATAAAATAACTGCTTTATATATTCTCATAAAAAAATAAAAATAAATTAGTGATGGTTTAATTGATATTGAGAAATCTGTATGTGAATAAATAATTGTGAGAAATCTATTTAAGAATTTTTGAAAAGTTTTTTGTAAAGTGGTGTAATTTGAAATTTTTGATTTGTTTATTATTTGGGTGTATCTAGAAGGATAATTTAGGAAAAACATAGGATGTTTTGAGAATAAAATATAACCTTAAATAATTTAATGGGATGTATTGATAATTGAACGTACTTAATGATTTTTTTGGGTGGAAATAGAATCCTTCACTTTTTTGTTTTTCTTACACTCGGGGGCCCAATATCTGATTTACATTTTCCCTTTCTTGGGCCCAATAATATATGGTGGCCTGTCTCCCTCAATAAGAGCCATTTTTTTTTAATTTAACTTTTTAAATTTTTTTTATGGCCCAACTCCCTAAATGCATTATTACTTTTCCTAATTATGAAAAAAATATAGACTCTGTTTGGTTTCATTTTCTTATTTTTAGAAATTTTTTTAAAATTTAAAAATTAATTTGGTAAAAAAAAAAATTGTTTTAATTATTTTATATAATTTTATTATTTGAGATGACATAAATAATTTTTAAAATTCAAAAAAAAAAAATTCATATTTATTTTCGTTAAACTATATATATTTTTAATTTTGAAGATAGTTTCATAATAACCAAACAAACATGTGTCCAAATAACAAAAGATAATTTGTTTTTAGAAATATTCTCTTGCAAACCAAACTCATCTTTGATCTTCCCTAAAGGAAACTTTTTTGATCATCCATCTCATGCTTCTTTGATTTTTATTATGACTTATTTTAAATAAATAAAAAAGAAAAAGAAGTCATTCATCCTTGGGACCCTTGCAATACATTTCTTTTTTTAGGTGGATAAGTCATAAATCAAAATAGAATATAAACACAAATACAAGGGGCATGCCCCAAGTCCTAACCCCAGCTATACAAGCAAGAACAACCAACCTAAAAATAGCCTAAAAAGGCATGCCAAACAGAGAACAGGTTGATACAAAAACAGCTTCAACTAACAAAACTAAGATATATATAGAACCTGAAAAATCCAAGGCTATTAACTGGATAAAAATGTATAAATAAAAATGTATAACCTGGAAAAATGGTACCATTTGGGAGAAGACAAAAATGTATAAATAAAATAAATAAATAACTAGCTTTTTTTACTCCATATAAAGCGGGGACCTTTTGCTCGAGGGATAGGGAAGATGGCGACAGGTAGATAGATTGTTTTGTTATAATAAAATAAGAATTAATGTAACTCTTATGAACAAAAAAAAGAAAAAAAAATGGTACCGTTTCATAGCATGGTAGGCACGGCAGCAAGGAATGATGGACCGCAGTGACCCCTTGTTTGCTGCCGTGCCTGCCATGCTATGAAACGGTACCATTTTTCTTTTCCTTTTTGTTGGTTCAAAATTTAGTAGCAATTTTGTAATGCCCTCAAAATAAACCCTTTATATGTATATCATCAACATGCATTATTTAAAGAAAACAATTTATTAATTCATTCATCAGAATTCTTTGATTGATAAATACAACTTGCAACAGAATGAGTGGATGAAAAGAACTTGGAGAAAAAAATAGCAGTGGGCGCACATGTGTATGAAGTGGGTATTTACCGGAGGAATGCGAAGCACACAACTTAGTGAAAGTCTGAATAGAACATTAAGGGGATATTTGAAAAGGTGATCGTAACATTGTTCAATTCTTTACTCACTTCAATCGGATTGTTGTAGTAAACGGTATAAGGAAGTTTCTGTAATATATGATTCTAGACAAAAGTTGCCTAGAATGTGGTATAAAGACCGAGTTTCTAACATGAACAAAAAAATGTGTCAAGTTTCTAATGAGGGCACGTATCCCATCTCAAAAATCTTAGATATTTGGTACGTGATGCGATAACAATATCCTCACCTTCCTAATGTTGACCTTCATAATGAAACATATACTTTTGATGATTAGTGTGACCTCCTCCCCATGTAAGGTACATATATCATCATATCATATCAGTCTTTTTGTTTGTACAGAAATCAATCACCAAATCGAATTTAATTATTTTAAATGAATGTGAGATTTATAAAATATGAAACTCATATTAAATGAGAGAATTATATCCAATTCTGAAATCAGTTTGTGTATTCTTATACATTTTCACATGATATAATTAGCCTCACTTCACAATTTAATAAATGATTTACGGAACAAGTAATGAGGGTATTTCTTGCGTTCACAGTGGCGAATGTCGATAAATACAACTTGCAACAGAATGAGTGGATGAAAAGAACTTGGAGAAAAAAATAGCAGTGGGCGCACATGTGTATGAAGTGGGTATTTGCCGGAGGAATGCGAAGCACACAACTTAGTGAAAGTCTGAATAGAACATTAAGGGGATATTTGAAAAGGTGATCGCAACATTGTTCAATTCTTTACTCACTTCAATCGGATTGTTGTAGTAAACGGTATAAGGAAGTTTCTGCAATATATGATTCTAGACAAAAGTTGCCTAGAATGTGGTATAAAGATTGAGTTTCTAACATGAACAAAAAAATGTGTCTAGTTTCTAATGAGGGCACGTATCCCATCTCAAAAATCTTAGATATTTGGTACGTGATGCGATAACAATATCCTCACCTTCCTATTGTTGACCTTCATAATGAAACATATACTTTTGATGATTAGTGTGACCTCCTCCCTATGTAAGGTACATATATCATCATATCATATCAGTCTTTTTGTTTGTACAGAAATCAATCACCAAATCGAATTTAATTATTTTAAATGAATGTGAGATTTATAAAATATGAAACTCATATTAAATGAGAGAATTATATCCAATTCTGAAATCAGTTTGTGTATTCTTATACATTTTCACATGATATAATTAGCCTCACTTCACAATTTAATAAATGATTTACGGAACAAGTAATGAGGGTATTTCTTGCGTTCACAGTGGCGAATGTCAACCAATATTCGTAGTTCGAATACTCCATTGTGTATCTACATTAGTTGAAACAGATAATAAAGAAGGTTAAAAAGTTTGTAATTTCATATTGATATCTCATTTTTCAAATGTAAAAGTAAGTTTATTTATTTATTGTCAATCAATAAGAGATTATATACAATACGAAGAGAATTACATTTGAATAATCATAGTCCAATAACAACCAACCCAACAAAGAGATGCTACAATCAGAAGGGAAAAAAAAAGCCCAACAACAAAGTTGAGAGATGAGAAATAATAGCAATGCTATGGACCTAGAAAATTTTACCTATAAAAATATTTATAAAAATCATTGTGGTTGAAATTTATTTCAATGATAGGTCTTACTATATAAAAATTGAATTTGGACCACCCATCATTTTTCAGTCTAAATTTCTAGACAATTTTTTTGAATTCCTAGAAATAAATAACACCGCAAAAAGTCTCAAAATTGGAGAAAAAATGATGAGTTAATTAAACTAAGACTCCTTTAACTATTAGTGAATATCACTTTACCTTCCTCATCTACGAACCTGTACATGTTGATCTCTTGAAATTAAAAAAAAAAAAAAAAAAAAAAAAAAAAAAAAAAAAAAAAAAAAAAAAACACTCTTTTGGAGGT